GAGTGATATATCATTTGAAAGGGCACAAAATTCTCTTTCCAATGATACCTAATTTGTTGTATTTACTTGAATAGTTATACGAGCATTTTTGCGTTAAGTTACAAAAAAAGGAGAAAAGCAAGGTGCATACTTTTCGTTGGACCACTCTGTATAACAATAGGTTATTACAAAACCTAATCAGATAAATAATTAAATATAGTAAAACAAGAGTATTTTGACGTTTGTTTGAAGGTGGTTGACAATGTTTCGTGGTGCATTTCATCAGTTCGGACTTGCACTGTCTAATACAGTGTGGTTCTTAACCGGTGGTCCGCGAACCACTGGTGGTCCCTGGAAGCACCCCAAGCGGTCCGCAGAGCCATCCTAATAAATATGTTAGATGTTTAAAAAAACGTTACTATTTTCTCTAGAACTTGAAACGACGTCGCAAGGTGCAGATGTTATGGATGCAATAAATCAATATATGGAGAAACATGGACTTATATGGGAACAGCTTGCGGGGTTTTGTACGGACAGTGCTCCTGCTATGCTTGGTTCTCGCTCCGGTCTTGCAGCATTGATAAAAACCAAAAATCCGTTTGCAATTACGATGCACTGCTTTATTCATCGTTAAGCACTAGCTGCCAAGACGCTTCCAGAATGCTTTGCTTTGACGATGAAAATAGCTATAAAAGTAGTAAATTTCATTAAAAAGAACGCACTCAATACTCGTCTCTTCAAACAATCGTGTTCTAATATAAACTTTGAAAATAAAACTTTGCTTTTCCACACGGAAGTGCGTTGGCTTTCCAAAGAAAACATGTTGTTGAGGTTGTACGAACTAAGAGAGGAAGTAAAAATATTTTAACTAACAAGGAAAACAAAGAATTGTTTGATCAGTTCTGCGAGTCCAAATTTCAAATACATTTTGCTCATTTGGTCAATTTTTTTGCGCTAATGAATAAATTTAACCTTCTACTGGAAGTGTCGGGAAATTTGAATTTGCAAGGCATGAGAAATATTTCTGTTTATGAAGATAAAATCAGTGCGTTTATCGCTAAAATCGAGCTATGGATCAACAAGGTCAAAAGTAATAACTTTTCGGTGTTTGATAAGCTCAATCAAATTATTGATGGACCGAGTGCTGAAATAAAAGGAAAAATACAAAAGAACATATTACATTTAATAAACTTAAAAATTGAATTCCAGTCACTATTTTCCCGACATAAAAGTATTCAAAAACTGATCCACAACCCATTGTAAACGTTTCTGAGGTGCCTGATAACAAGAAGATGTAATTGATATGCTACACGACAGCAACTCAAAATATACATTCGAATCAGGAATTAATCTTGAAGAAGTTTGGAGCCAGAAGGCAATTTTTTGCCAAAACTTCGAAACATTGCTATTCGTTACCTAACTTTATTTTCTTTGTCATATCTATATTTTCGGCGCTTCTGATTTTCAAAAATAAGCACCGAAATCGGTTGGATGCCACTGCTGATATGCGTTTAATTTTAAGTAACACTGAACCAAAGATTCAGAATTGAGTAAAGAGTATGCAGTCACAAAAATCGCATTAATTTATAATGCAATTTTTGTTACAGGTACAGGTTTTACCTAATGATTGAAAGACATTAAATAACTTTATGCGTATTTTATTTATAGATGAATTAGAACCACCATTCCATTTATTTACTATACTGTACTGTAATTATTTGTAGTTATCGTAAGGTAGATACTTTATATTACATAACTACAAACTAATTAACCAACTTGGTGGTCCATGGCTTGACAGAAATTTCGTCAAATGGTTCCGCATCAGTATAAGGTTAAGAACCACTGGTCTAATATGATATAAATTGATTTGAAATCCCTGGAAGAATCTGTGAAAAATTAAAAATTGCCATTCTTAGACGTATTGGTGAAGAGGACAGACACTGAATGCTTTTTTTTTGTTAATAGTCTTTTTCTTGATCTGATGATTGTGGTTGTTCTATAGGTGTTAGCGTAATTTTCAATGTGGAGGTATATGGTCAATGGCCTGTTTGAAAAGATTTTTATCAATGATGTGATATATCATGTTCGGGTTGAAGTTGTTGTTTACTGAAATTTGTTGAAATTCAATTCCTTATTAAATCCACTATGGACATTGGGATACTTGTAACTCTGTGAATAATGCTATGGTAAGCTACTAAATTATGATGATGATGATGATGATGGCGATTAGAATGATTATTGGGTTAGTTTGTGGTGATTTTTGAATTCATGTTTGTTGTTGATTTTCGTAATTAGGAGGTCTAAAAAGTTTTTCGATTCATTGATTTCTAGTTTTACTGCGAATTTACCGTTTTCGTGAATAGATTTGATGTATTGAAAAAGATGATCATACCTATCGATGTGTTCCTGTAAAATGGGCTACAACATCGTTAACAAATCTATACCTTCGAATCTATACCGAAGCCTTCTCTGTGCATATTTTCAATAATATCACACATTGGGTCTTTGTATAGGACAACGCCAGCCCAAAGTCCATACCAAACAGTGACTTTTTCGGAATACATTGGACACACTTGGATTTCATGTGGATTGGTATCGTACAAAATTCGACAATTTTGTTTGATCACTGAAGATGAAGATGATTTTTTGATGAAAATTAGGGTCAATTGCCAACTGCTCCAGAGCCCATTCAGCGACCACACGTCGTTGTCTATGGTCGTTTACCTTCAGTTCCTGGGTCAGTTGAATTTTGTACAGGTGCAGGCCCAAGTGACGATGGAAAATTCGCCAAATTGTGGTATGCGAAAGGCCGACGCGAAATCGACTGCTTCGGATTATCCTGCACACTCTCACAGACAGCGGCAATGTTTTCGGCAGATCTTGCGTTTCGTCAACGTACGGGTGTTGGTCGATCGCTTACTGAACCAGTAGAGGAACTGCAGCAAATTTGGAATACTGCAGGTAAGTTGGAATACCGTGGATACCTAATTATTATAAGTGCCATCTGTGTTTTCTTCTTGTAAAGTTATCTCACACGCCATACGGAGCTAATGAGCTCTAAAAACCGACCGCCATCTTGACATTCCGGCGCTAGCCTCGTAGAAGCGAAATGTCCATTTTCAAACTTTTTTCAGTAAGAAAGCAATCATTGATAATCATTTACTATGATACATAAAATCTTTATTGTTATTTAAACTGATAAGAGACCTTTTCAGTTAATGGTTTTACTTTTATTTTGATAATATTTCTGAAAATGTGATATGAAATTTTAGGTTAGGATGTCATGTTTGTTAATTTGGAATACCGAAAGTGAATATAATTTGGGATATTCCATCTGTGATTATTGTAACTGATTATTACTTAATAATTATATTAGTGTAAGCTATTTTGTTATAAAAATTATCACCAAGAGAACTGAAAACTATAAAAATGTTACAAATATAAGAAATTCATTACATGGTAAGTAAAAGTGTAAGCAAAATCAAAGAAAAAAGGTGATCATAATTTGGAATAATATATTCCAAATTATCTGCACCATAAGTCAAAAGAAGCTTTTGGAGTTTTTTAGGTTGATTAAAATTTTGATAATGTTCCTAATTTTCGTTTTGTTTAATGTATTTTTTATTGGGCTAAGCCATTTTCTTCTCTACTTATTCCCAAAGAACAAACCAGTATTCCAAATTTACTGCAGTTCCTCTAGACTCAAATTTATTCACCACATTGCAAATAGACTTCCCGGTAGGTCGATTATGGTGACCGTGAAAGGGACGAAGCGCGCGGTACGTTGCTCGAACAAAACACCCATTTTGATAAAACAATTTTATCATTTTGACGTGTTATTGAATGCCTAATGCGCCCATGGTTACTTGGCAAAACAGACTAAATAAATTACAAATGACAGATGAAGCTACATTTGTCAAATCTAGCTTCAACAAGATGACCCTCATCAATTGTCAATGTTCGGAAATCCCCGTTGGAAAACCCTATATAAACCTTAAATTACAAAGATCAATCTAGTCACTGAATGAAGATCTGCTCCAGATCTCAGCAGTTGTACTGGCTAAGTCATCAATGGAATTTTTGAACCCTTCTTCCACGTATGAACAAAAGAAACAAACGGTAGCTTTAAAGACTCTTTTAAAAAGGCGCCGTCTATGAAATCGACAGAAGACTTCAACCACGTATATCAATGATGAACAAGGCGTTATGAAATTGAGAAGATCAGATAAGAATCATTTCTTTTAATCAAATTATTCAGTTGGAGTACATAGAACATCTCCTCATCATCAAATAAATATCCATGAATTGATTCATCTTATTCCACATAGGTGAATAGTTTGTTCTTATGGTTGGTTTTCTGACCACCTTGTTCAGGATCAAAAACCAAAGTTAGCTCATCAGCTTAAGCAGATCCTTTGGTTTGAGCAAGATACATAGAATATCCCTGGTGTGATCATTTGGACTCCTTCCTCATGTAAAATATTTAAACAATGTTAGTTGGCACTTCAGTTATCAATGTTGTTTACATTCTGGAATAAATTGATATTGAATGTAATTTTTCTAGCTTATGTAACATAAATTCTAGATTTCAAAATACGCGCAACAGATTTCGATTCTTGCACCATCTATCAACATGTGTACAAAGTTTGGTTAATCTCATTTCTCGCATCGAAAGTTTTCGACAAGACAAAAGCGAATCAGTATAAACATCAGGGTTTCTATGCATCTTTGCTAAAACGGTTAGTCTATATACAAAGCTAAAACCATCAACCATTACCACCTCAGTATTATTCCAAGAATGAATTCTATCAATAGAAATTTTCTCAACTGTTTACTTTTTCCGATTCCGCTGACTCATGCCGCGAATAGACACAACCTCACTTATACTTTTGTTTACCGTTTCAGAAATAGCGTGAAGCTAATCTTCCACTTTAACGACTTCAGCGAAGGTTGATTTCTTTGCCGATAAATAACCTTGGAACGAACTCCGGATAATCTTTCAATCACGCATCCACTCGAACTTACCTCGGTCTTTCATTAACACCATTCGTAGCGCTGACTGGTAGTCTGATGTTGCCGCTTTGCACCTCGACATCGGATGGTTTCTCTCTAACGGTTATCCTGATAGGTTCCACGTCAGATGCGATGACGGTCCTGGATTTTCGCAGCGTTTCGGACATGGTGTGCTCTGGAGTGATCAGCTTTTGCATGTGCTTCTGCACCTCCATTTCTAAAGCTTTGGAGCTCATCACATGAGAAACGTTGTTCGTATGGTTGTTACTGTGGTTGCTATTCTGGTGTACTAATTCCTTTTGGCCTCCAACAGACTGGATGTAGGGTTCCACTGTTGGCAGAGCCGTGGTTGCATTTTTAGTGTCCAGAGCTGGATTGGTACTGCTTTTATTGGCTTCTTTAGCTACGGAGATGATGGTGCTAGCAGCTGGTGATGGCTTGGAGAAGCCGTGGTCCTTCATTACTGTTTGGGAATCTAGGACAGTGTCGTTCATTTTGTTGATGGCGTTCGAAACGCTTGTAGCGCTCAACACCCTCCCGTCTACCATTGGAGAGATTGGTTTCGACCCTTCATAGTGGTGCGGAAAGTTCAAATTCGTATCTATCTTTAATGGTTGCGCTACAGTTGAAGTTGTGCTCGAAACTACAGTTGTTGTTGAAGGCAACTGCTCTGGTTTCTGGTCTGCTTTCTTGAAAACTACGTCTTTATCATTGGAAGAACTCTTGTCCGAAAGTACCTTGTCGGATTCAATAATATCGTTGTTACTAGTATTTTTTTCCGCAGACTCCTCGGCTGTATCATTATTTGAAATATCAATTTTTGTCTTATCTATTTCCACACTACTTTTATTGTCGCTGGTTCCAACAGGGATATTATTATTTTTACCATTTTTGCTGTCTTTTTGACCATTCACGGCTTTTCCAGGATCATTTGCAGTTTTCTTCGCAACCTGTGTTTTATTTGTGGTATTACTCACTGAACTGTCACTAGTAGATGCATAGTTATTTCCGTAGTTTCCTGTTTTCGGCAAAAGATTTGGCCTAGAGTTAGTTCGTATTTTACTTACACTGTGTTTTCTGTTCAGAGTCTTCGATTTATTTTTAGACGCGTCTGTATCATCGGACTGTTCACTAACAACATGATTTTTAGGAGGCACTTGAGGTTTTACTTTTTTGAAAGAGTTGACTTTAGCTTGAACTTTTCCGTATTTTGTTACAGGAATTCTAGAAGGGGACGTGGGGGTTTTAGTGGGACTGGGTTCTCTGCTGTGATTCCTGGATTGATTCCTGGATGCGTTTTGGGACGACTTTCTGGATCGGTTGCCTGTAGGGGTTTTAGACACGGGGGGTTTCCCTGAAGTTTGCCCAGTATCGGGATGAATTCCGTCTCTCGAAGGCGAACCTTTTCTACTGGAGGTTGTTTCCCTCGACGGCGAAACCTTTCTACTTGGAGGCGTGCTGTGACTCTTTGGAATCCTTGAAGGGGAAGACATTGATTGGCTAGGTTCTGGGGAACTACCTGCAAATAAAATATCAAATGAAATATCTACGATACATAATATGAAGTTTTTACTTTATTCAACTTGAACGAAGTTAAGATTTGATATTCCATCATTGAGATTTCTGGTACACAAACGCACGAAGACATCCATAGGAGAAACTATACATTTGAAGTTTCTAAGGCTTCAACTAACTTAACTGCTACGTCTCCGAGATTAATTGAAATTGTTTGGAAAAAAAACAGCAATTACAAATAACTTTGTCTGTGGAGCATATGTGGCTTAAGAGCAATATCGGAGGACAGTGGGACGCACATAGGATCTTCCAAGGATTCTCAGAAGGTATTAAGCAATGTAAGGCTATGGTTAAATTATAACCTTCTAAGTCTGAATGTTAGTAAAACAAAATTTCTAACTTTCTCTTCACTACAAAATGATCAGCCGGAAAAAAATACCTTGAGTATACATCAAATAGGGTGTGAAATACAAAATTGCTCTTGTCAATTGATAGAAAGGTTATGAGATGGGACCGCACACTGTGACTATGTAGTGAAAAGACTCAGAATGATAATTAAAAGATTCTATCAATTACGGGATATCTTGGATAAAAAAAATATTTTTATATTTTATGAATCTCTAGCGGAATCTGGCCTGAGATATTGTATAAATGCTTGGGGTGGAATGTATAATAAAACAATAAAACGACTTCAAACAACACAGAACACTTTGATGAAAATTATATTGAAGAAACCTAGGTTATTCTCAACACATCAGCTATATAAAAATTCCGAGATCTTGAATGTCAGGGGTCTATATTCCTATCAATGCCTTCAGTGGATATTCAAAAACAAACAGAACTACGAAAAAAATCTTGCTGAAAAATATACAAGATCTGTTGAGGATCTATCTATCAGAATACCCAAATTCAGAAAAAGTCATACACAAAGATTTATATTCTATTTCGGACCTAAACTATACAATATGTTACCTCTAAAAGTAAAGCAAATAACAAAAATGGCGAACTACAAACAAAACATTAAAAGTTTCATTCTCGAAAACAATAGTCTAAATTTAATTTTCAACTGATACACACTCCTCTATTACTCTATAACTTATTACTTATTCTTTCTTANTTGGAAATAAATTTTAGGGGTTGCGGTTTCCACCCCTTACAACCTTAGGGTGAACCAAATAAATTTATGTCTAAGAGTCTTTTTGGTAGTACAAAACGTCAGGTTAATTTCAATATTGTAACTTTTTAATGCTTGTGAAAAAAAATATACAAATTTTATGTACCCCCTTTAAGGGACTGTATCTTTACAAGGGATGCTCCAATGAAATTTCTTTATATGAAAGATCCTATATTTTTTTCGATGAGGAATCACCTCCTCAAATATTTTACACTTATTTAGTTACACCCTGCATAAAGATTCCGAGATATTGAATGTCAGGGGTTTATATTCCTACCAATGCCTTCATTGGATGTTCAAAAATAAACAGGACTACGAAAAATATACAAGATTTTTTGAGGACATATCTATCAGAATACCCAAATTCAGAAAGAGTCATACACAAAGATTTATATTCTATTTCGGACCTAAACTATACCTTATGTTACCTCTAAAAGTTAAGCATATAACAAAAATGGCGAACTACAAACAAAACATTAAAAGTTTCATTCTCGAAAACAATACACTAAATTTAATTTTCAACTGATACACACTCCTCTATTACCTTATAACTTATTACTTATTCTTTCTTATTTTCTCTTTCCCATTCTCCTAACCAACGTAACTAATATAAAATAATTCTTATGATAAATTTCAAATTCATCTACTCAATTTTATCAATATTATCATTATTATTTTTCGAAACTCGCACTGTATAAAAAAGTAAATCAAGATACCCAAATGGAAGAATGGAACGTTATGATACCAGCATTCATTGCTTAGGTATGTTCTATGTTTCCTTTGTATTTAGAGTACATATTGTACCAAACAAAATATGGAATAAATCAATCAATCAATCAACCACCTCGTGTGTTCACCTGGATCTACATTGTAATAATAAGACATATGTTAACTTACGGAGCCATTGCATGGGAACCGAAAGTTCTACAAGCAACGGCCATCCAAAAATTATATCAAATACAGCGACTGGCTTGTTTAAACATCACAGGAGCCATAAGATCAACACCACCGCGGCGATGGAATTAATTACGGGTCTGACCCCTCTGGACCTGTGTGCCTGTATGTTAAGGAGGTTGCGTTGATGGCCATGTTACGTTTGCGCACGGCTGGTGTAAACTTCGAAGTAGGAATGGGTCAGTTGAGCCTGAGCCTATGGCGAGAAGCGCTTACTGCGCAACCTCTGCTGCAGGCAACCAGTGATGCAATTAAACCCAGGTTTGTGTTTAATAAACCCTACAAAATACAAATAAAACAGAACACAGAGTCATATGCTAAAAATGCAAGACGCATATATACAGACGGCTCAAAAACCAAAGAAGGCTCAGGATGTGGAGTGTACTCCAGATCATTAAGCCTAAGGATTAAGTGGGGAATGGGAAAAATACCAGCGTGGTCCAAACATAACTGGCTGGTATCTCCATAACCAGGAATGCAATTTCTGACAAGAACATAACAATCTGCACTGACATCAGACAAACCCTAACCTCAAGGCTAGTACTAGAGTACCCCAAATCCTCGGTAGATAATAACATTATCCTGAGGTGAGTTAAAGGGCACGACAAGAGTAAAGGTAATCGCATTGCCGGCTAAGAAAGCGGCTGGACTAAGAATTATAGGACCCAGTGGCACCTACGGCCTGATGACTTCGACAATTGCGGAACTAGCCAAATTTTACACCTTTGTTTAATTTATGAAGAGATGGGATGGAATCAAAGGATGCAATCTTGCCAGGATCATCCTGGGCGACCCTGGGAAGCTAGCGCTGAAAAAATATCTGGCGATGATCAGGTAAAATCTACGTTTAACAGTAGGATTTCTGACTGGCCACTGTCAACTAAGGAAACACTTCCATAATATGGGACTATTGGACACACCTCTATGCAGAATATGTGAACAAGAAGATGAGACTGACAGGCATGTCCTATGCGAGTGCCCGGAGTTATCGTCAAAAATAGAGTGTGTGTTTGGCGAGTGTTGGCCTACACCTGACGATATACAGGAGATGTATCCAAGTGACTTGTCCACCTTCCTAGAAGGACAGGATGGACGATGATCTAGGAGGACAACTCTTCAGGAGGATTAACAATGGGTCACATGTGGCCTAAGTGCTGTGGGCTTACACTTATCCTCCCTTCTCTACAGATACAGAACTATGTCTGTGAATATAATGGTCAGTCAAAACAATACTGTTTGGTGTTGAATGTTACTTTGCTTTTTGGCCTAAATTTCATCTAGAACAATATCTTTCTCAGCCCCTTGCGGTTTCGTGAACTGTCTATGAAAGTCTAATCAAAAGGCGTTACTGAAATCATAAATTTATATTATTCATTGAACTGCATTTTAAAATTTGAACCCTACGAGACACGCTGTGTCAGCAAGTTACTCTTATGATGATCTATGATCATGGAATCATGGAATCAAAATTATCATTATCATAATCAATGCAGTTGTTTTTGAAACTGAAACTGAAACTCACCAATAATAGGAGAAAGTCTCTGAAATGCCGGTTTCTTGCTGTATGTTCTTTTGGAAGCCACAGGCGGTTTGTTTCCATTTTTATCCGCTTGTAGATCCGTTAAACTTTGGCTCAACTTGTTCGAGATTTTCCTCTTTGTCGGCGAAGAATTGTAGTGGTAGACTTTCTCCCCGAAAGCGCCATTGCTAGGTCTCCTTTTGAGTTTCGGAATCTTGGAGGAATGTCTTGGAGATAAATCGGTGGGAGTGAGTCTGGCATCCTCGGGTGGTGTGGGTGAGATCGAAGGAGAAACATGTCTGGAGCCTCTTGGGTTGAAACCGCGTCCTTTAAAGGGGCTCACTCTGCCTGTATTTGGAGAGGAGCTTCTGGAGAGTAATTTGGTAGGGTCTACATCTCCTATGACCGCAAAAGATTGATTTTTGTGTCTTCTGGTAGATGGGGTAAGCCTGCAAACAATTGGAGAGGGTGAAACTGGTTTCAACGGAGGCAGTTAGTGAGCATGCATTTGAAATTCTCATTTGGAAAATGAAACTAGCAAGAGCGGGTTTTGAAGAATGTCTACATTTCTTTTTTTTATTTTGTTTATTTTTTGAAACTAGTGACAAGCAACAAAGCATCCGCGATCCAACACCAAACAGCGCTGTTTCGACTAGTCATAGGTCTCATTGGTAGAGCTGAGCTGAATCACGAATGCATTGGTGAAGGCACCTGTCCTTGAAGGACACACCTAGGTGAGGAAAGACAATATTATTATCTCCCCTTGCGGAGACACCATCTACGGGATCAAAAGAATACCCAATCCACGGATATCAAAGCCAAGCTTCGGCATTGACTGGCGAACTAGATTCGTTCTCTGTTTTCCACTGCATTTTTCACTACCCAGAATCAGAGCCCAAATTCTAGACCTACGGAAGATCGGAACGACATTTTCTGGATCATGAATGCTTCTTTTGGTTTTTGCTAATTGCCTTGCAGTAAAAGCTACAGTGCAAAACAGCAGTCCATGTTGTTGCTTGGCTTTGCAAGAGATCAACTTCGGGCTGCTGCTCCCCTAGAGGGCGTATCTATAAAAGGATATGTCATCGTCTTTTCTTTTTTTTGCTGTGTTGGGATAAGATGTATAGGAGAAACATTGACATTCTTCAATAGAAATAAGATATATTTTGTGTCTATTGAAGTGATGCTCATTGGTTTCGAGTATTTCCTAATATATTTACCTCGATAGTTCCAGGAAGCTAAATTAGAAAACAGGAATCATTGTACAATAAAAGTATTCTACAGAACTGAGTGTATATACATTATTCAACATTCATATATAATTCAATGCGGCAAGCTGATATGGTTTTGAATGAATTTCAAGCACTTGATGATACCTGAGAAGGATTTGAATGAAAATGTATGTGTGTATCGCTTCTTTTGGAGTTCTACATCGCAGCTGACTATTTTGCTGTTTTTCCTAATAGTTTTGTATTTCAATACATGGCGTTCCAATTCTGAAAAGATATGTACTAATTTTTTTTTTGAGAACAATACATATACAGCCGGAGTCACGATTAAGAAGAACAAAATGAAGTAGCTCGTCGTGAAAAATATTTGTAGTGACATACATTTCGTCTGCTACTGCGGCAGACATCTTTAGGGTCTAGGCACTTATGGAGACGAAAATATCAACTAATAAGTCACAGTAACGACACGAGAAGTGTTCAAATGGCTTGGCCCATTTGATTTCCCCAAGAGCGGTACATATCAGGAATACGCGACGGACTGTGGTTGCTCATCGTTTTGAGGCTCAACTCAGTACAGCTCGAACTTCACTGTTTGAAAACTCTCTCATTTGGAGAACTGCATTCGTTTAGAATAAACTCCCTGAGAACGTTTTTCCAAATATATTTAATCTCCAGCGTTTCAAGTCCAATTTGAATCGCTACTTTCGCACTGGAACCGCTCTTGGAGCGCCTTGAGGACTCTCCTGTAGTGCTTGTGTTTTGTCCTCAAAAAAAAATATACTGACTGGAACAACGTCTTCAGTTCAATCGGGATGGAGCCCAGCTCCCCTACCCTTTCAGCTGATTATTGTCGAAGAAGGACAAATGGGTTCATGACTGAGGGGATGGCGGTATGAAGTCCTCAGACATCAGTACCGCCCTTCACGAGGTACCCTCACCTGGCTGGGGTGGGATGGATGAAAAAATTGTTCATCTTTTAACGGGGGACATGGGGGCCTCATTCGACAGAGTGTCGGGGCCTTCTATATCGGGAGGGGTCGTCTAGAGCATAGTCTATAGCTTCCGTAACTAACGGATTTTCGTGAGTTTCCGCACTTTCGAAAACTCGCCGATTCCTCGACTGAATGGACTGCCGAACGGAAGGCAGCTGCAAATCTCTGCGGATGGCGTCATTCCGCACGAAGCAAGGAGCATTCACAATCATCCTAATTGACTTGTTTTTGTAATCTCTCCAAGATGGAGATGTTGGACGGAGCCGCTTGTCCCCAGCATACATGATGACAGACTTGAACATCGTGTTGTAGATGGTATTCTTGTTTTTCAGACTCATTTTTTATTTTCTATTAATCAGAGGGTACGGACTTGCGATCCGACCCTCGATCCTAGATTTAACGTACAAGAGTTCAGTCCTATTCTACCTAGTGGGGAGTGGTGTGGGTAAGATGTCCAAGGGAATGCTCACTCCTGATTGGTGCACTTATGCCAAGTTGATGTGATTGGTGCGCGTTGTTGATATGTGTTCTGCCGGTGGGATGTCGAACGGAATTGCATTCAATTAATTACTGGCCTTCTTGAGTACAAGATGCCACGTTCTGTTGATATTCTTGTGATAGTGTGTGGTAATGCACTACTGTAGTACACAACACAACAATTTCTTCATATTTCATTACGTGCTTTGTTTCTGCTGGAGCATGTTCTCCTACTGCTGATTTCTGCAGTTAAATGGGGCGTCAGGCGCTTGTGCTCTTGATGCTGCATTCGATTGTTCCGATATAAACTGAGCGATAGGAACAGAGAACTGTGATCTGTGGCTATCAACAAAAATCCAACAAACTGAAACCATTAACACAACATATACAACAACTGCCACTTTCTTTAAATGTGATACCTCACTTCCCAGGTCTTCCTGGAAAGATAGTACATATCGGTTCTGAATTCAATTCCTGAACGGTTCTCAAAACTCAAAATGATCTGAGATCTGGATTGACACAACAAAGCAAGCAAATGATGAAATAAATCAGTGCTTTTGTGGAGATGGTGAACATATGATGAATTAGGACAACGCCAAAATTCTGATGACATAAGTTGAAAAAATTAAGAAAAAGCTTGTATAATGTTGAACGAAAAAGAAAATATGTAGGTCTTTCATGGCTACCTCTCATGAGATAGGAAGCTGAACTGAAAAAATTTCATATCAACATTCAGTGTGTGTATGCATAATCTTCCATTTGCTTTTGAAAGGTTTCAATGACAGTACTTTTAATGTCGGTAGCCGGTTGAGTTGGGTGGATGGTTAGCTCCACTCACTCATTCGACCGAACCGGTGGTTCGAAAAGAAAGGCCGGACGATCAATTTTCACTTCCTATCGTCCAACACGTGCTAGGAATCACATGTTAAAAGGTAAGACCTCGTTAGTTATTAGCTCGTACAGATTTTTACTTTTAAAAGTTGTCCTCCACAGGAGTGCGACGGCTGGTTAACGGAAAAACAGATTTTAAACAGATTTCTTAATCAGATTTTATATTTGTATACGATTTCGATCAGTTTTTTTTCAGGATTCGAAAAAGTGAACAAAGAAACGTCATCCAAAAGAAGCATATTCCCATTGGAAAGTCATATATTTGTTCGAAGTTTATAGACAAAATTATTATTGAGCAATATTGACAAGTCCGATGAACCCAACTGAATGTTTTTTCTAATTCCAATGGAGTGAAAACCTAGGAATGCCAAATATGTCTTGTGGTACAGTACCACTGATTTTTTTGCTATTTATAAATGACCTTGATGAAGATGTGAAAGATGGAAAGGTTTACATGATTCCTCAATTTTGATATCTGACCCTAACAGAGGTGAACTAGTAGCTACAACAAAAAATATATTAAATCAATTCGACCAGTGGTGTCAGAAGAACAATTTAATAATAAACCACTCGAAGACTGTTGCAATTCAATTCCACATATCGACTACAGGAAGAGCCATCAATCACATTTCAAAATAGCTCCAAGTTTTTGGGTACAATCGTTTACGAAAACCTCAAATTGGATGACTATGTTCCAACTTGAATAAGCGCTTCTTTGCGTTGAGAAATTCAAAAAGATGTTTAAATGAAGAAGATCTCATGAGCTTTACTATGCATTGGTATATTCTTCTATTAGTCATAATATTTTCAGAAACTACACCTCACGATTTGATGTGAGGTGTATTTTTTGAAATTACTATGGATCTTCATCAATTAACGGCCGCTACTGGCAGCAGCAGAGACTTCATAACACAGAAAAGAATCATACAATTGATATTCCACTTGAGTTTTCGAGAATCTTGCAGAGATATTATCAAAGAAAAGAGAATATTAACATTAACGAGTATCTATTTGCATAAATTTTCAATATTTGTCCCTCCCGTCAAAGAAACCAATTCGGATTAGAAATTATCAACTATTCAACTTATAAAAAATCCCCAAAATATGCTGCGGCGAACTTTTTCAACATGCTACATGATGACTTGAAGAATCAGCCAAACCTGTTCAGATTCAAAACAAAATTGTTATCAGTTATCTAGGCCATTTTATAGTATTTCCGAATTCATATCGGACTATCAATGAAGAGTGTATGAATTTAAGAATAATAATGATGATAATTACCTAATTCGATGAATTAGAATGCGTCATATCGAGAATAAAATACATAAATATCAAAAATGGGCTCCCTCAAAACAAAAATTGACGTAGTTCTCGAAACTTTTTATCACACCGGGGAGTTACAGGAGAGGTTGAATAAGAACGTCGTGTATAACTCAACTATCCTAGAGAATAGTATTTGTAAATTGTTTGTCATGAATTGTATCTTCACAAATACTTTTTTTTATTGAAAAATACGTATACAATCATTTTAAAAATCAGCCATGATTTGTGGACAATTGTATCTTGAAACCGATATGAATTGAATTTCAAATTGTTTTTGAAGCTCATCTTTTCATATCATTTATTTCTTCGTACTTCGCACATTTGAGTAGAACACAAATCAAAAATTATGAATTTTCACGACAGTAAATAACTATAAATAACCAAAACGCTATTTTCCAGATGTGTTGCCTGTAGGTACGTTTTTACGTCTGATGTTTCGTCTACAACTGCAGTAAAAATTATCGAAGACAATGGGGCAACGGAAGCTGTATTCCATTCCTCTAGTTCTATTCGTCTCCACAGCCAACAAAACCGGAAAATGACTTCGACACAGTGAGGGATATTCAAACGTCTAACACTCGTGATGAAATGCATGTGTATTTCATAAAAAAGGCATGACTATATACAATAATATCTTCATTTGAGTCATCCACACTCACCTGTATGGTTCCGGTGCAGTCGGAGGATCCGGAGGATGTAGATTATTACTAGGCAAAACGGTGAAAGCTCCTGGTGACAAATAGTGCAGCTGTAAGTCCTCTTCAAAATCTCTTCCAGCTCTAGGTTGAGCAAGCTGTCGATGTTCCGGAGATCGCATCTTTCAAAACAAAAATCAGGGAACTGGGTTTGACATCCTTGTGGGTTCATTCCAGCTGGGTTGGTCACACCACGGTCAGCAACTTCAAGAAAACAAATACTATCGTCATGAAATAGTACTATATAAAACATTAAATAATGAAACAACCGAAAGGGATGCCGATAGTTTAGATTCGTATCTATCTTCGCATTGGTTGCGCTACAGTGGAAGTTTTGCTCATTACTACAGTTGTTGTTGAAAACAGCTGCTTCCGTTTCAGGTCTGCTTTCGTGAAAACTACGTGACAAAAACACCCTATTCGAATTCAGTACTATTGTCCATACTACTATCGTTTCATAGATTAATTGGCTGTGTCGTTATTTGAAATATCAATTTGTGACTTGTTTATTTCCACACAAAACAAATACCGTTGTCATGGAACAGTAATATATGACACAAAATAATGAAATAATTGAAAGAGATACCGATAGTAGGTTGAGTTAGGTTAGGTCTAAAGTGAGTGGGTCTATTCGACCCTCCACCGCAACCCGCAAGGGTTTATAGTGGCTCACACCTATTCACACTAGACCAAATAAATCCAGCTTCTTAACGAAGCCGATTAGTTTGTATGGTGAGTGGTCTTTCAGGTCAGATGGTGAGAGTACGGCTCTGCCGAACTCTCAAAACCTGATTCGGTCCCCAGCAGGGCAGGCACAAAGTATATGCTCTGCTGTTTCATCATTTTCCAAACAGAGGCGATACACACTGTCTTCCGACAGTCCGAGTCTCTGCATGTCTCGTAGTTCAACCCTACTGTAGTCCAACAACTGTTTGGTTTCAAGCTTCGAAGGGTGAATAAACGCCATGGAGTGAGCCAATCCTGGAAGATTCTGCCAGAAGTGCAAAAATTTTCTTGCCATCCAGGTGTCCAATGTTTGTTTGGCAGAGCCTAAAGCGATGCCAATAGCAGGTTCTGGTCCGATGGAGCTGCTTGCAGTACCCTCCTTTGCAGGGGAGTCAGCAACTTCATTGCCTTCTAGGCCAGTATGGCCAGGAATCCAGACCAGAGACAATCTGTTGAGTCTTCCTATCGAGGAGAGTCGTTTTTGGCAGTTTGCTACCAATTTAGAGGTTGTTCGGTGGGAGCCAAGAGCTTCCAACGCTGTTTGACTGTCCGAGAATATTTTATTGGCTTGTGTATGAGGTTTGATTTATCCAATCTCTACGCACACAATTCAATAGCATAAATTTCCACTTGAAATACAGTCGGATAAGTTTCTAGGCAGGTATATATCTTTGCTCTTAATATTTCATTCTCCCGGAAGATCCAGTCCTCTCTACACGGGAATAGTACTTTATAAGGCAGTTAGTAATTGACAGTTGGAGGCATAAAGTCAGAGGTCATTTCCAGAATGCTGTGACTTCCAGTGTCAACCAACAGTCTGTTGCACTCTGATTCGAATTGATTTGTGCAATTGGCAATGTGCACAAGTCTAACCTCTCTTCAAAGAATGTGGAGAGGAGGTAGATCTAGAAGGATATCCATGGCCTCTGACGTTGTGGTACTGATGACACCACTGATAGCCAGACAAGCTTGTCTCTGTAAGCCGATAGTAGATAACTGATAGTACTTAAGGTTAGGTTTGCAGTGGGTGAATCTGTTCTCCCCTTCCCTACAACCCAAGAAGGTTTATTGTAGCCCACGTCAATTGGGACAGATGTTTTTCTAGAGGCAATTTTCACAGTTGAAGTTGGGTTGATTCTGTTACGTAGCCACGGCTGAAGAGAGTACGAGTGACATGAGAGTAACTCAGGAAGTTGATAATATAGCCTACTCAGAACACTATTTTGATGACCATAGCCGATGACCAGAGAACTCATTGTACAGAACTACAATAACTCATAGAATTGGGTATTCTTACCTCAGTCTCAACATACTTCTACCAATTATTACTGTATGTTGAAATGTACTCAAATTATTTCACGACAGTGACTGAGAATAACCATAATTCGAGAAGCCCCGAATCAACATGTTTAATGTTATTCCTGGAAACACTAAAAACATTACATTATCAGTTCATAAAATATTTGTGAAACATGTTTCTCACAACATAAAGTCGATGATTTCCGATAATTGAAAATCTAAACCCTTCAAGAGCATCATTCTTTGCACTAGGCTGAAACGGACAACAAGCCACAGGTTTGTCATCTCCCCATCCGCCTATGAACGAGGTAACCAACCGCATATCCGAAATTTGACCAATTCCTCGTATATGGAAAGAAAACTTCTCACATATAGTCAGTGAGCATACTTGAAGACTGGCTATAAATCAATTTTTTATTGTTCAAGATTAGCTGTAAGCGAGATCTTCGAGAAAAGTTTGATAGAATTTTGGAGGTTTTATTTAGAGAATGGAGTGAAGCGACGCCTGAAGAAGCTACTGTATAGCGAAACACGTGTTGCGTTTTTGTGAAACTGTTCAGTGAAAATCTCACAATAAAGTGTTTCTTGAATACGTTACGGATTTTCATCGATTCTATCACATAATATCTCAAGAAAGCCCCTACGAGTTTTTTTGACCATTTGGTATTAGAAACTGATTCTACGATGTGTTTTGATTATATAAAACATATGTTTAAATTGACAGGATTATATTTTTAGGAGTGATTAATTTTTGGGAAAGCAAGTTTTTGGCTTTCTACAGCTTCATCTTGATACAATAAAATATGTAGATCATGCAAAGAAACAGCTACTTTCATATAAACATTGAATTACACGAAAGAACAAAAAACAAAAATTCTTACGAAACAAATACTTTCATATTAACACTGAATTGTACAAAAAAACACTTTTCTCTACTCAGTTTGTATCCCAAGCATCCTTTATGGAATTGAAGATATCATTCTCAGGATTCCTACACAATATAATTAATGAAAGGTAAAAAATATACATGGAACACTGTCATTCTCACTGATAGACATCGATGTTTCGCCGTAAGACACTTACCTTAGGGCTGGCTCTTCAGTACCAATATGGATAACATCATAAGAAAAAACTACACAATTTATTCATAAATTACGATTTTATGTCACGAAATGAGTTTGATCTATTCATGTCATCGATGACATCATAATGACATTCATTCGCTTCCTTCTTTTCTTTGGAAGATTCCCACATTTTCTGTATCAAAATTGAGTAGTAGAAAACCAAAAACTTTCTTTCCCACAAAACAATTGTTTTTCAACGAATGTTTAAACACAACAGAGCAGAAAATATACTTGAAATTGGTTACAAATAGTCTGAGAACGACAAAATCAACTTCAAAAATCAACAATCAAGCTGTTGTTGCCGAAGAAGAAAATTTGGTAATAATAGAAATAAGAACGAAAGTAATGGAAAATGGTTAATCTCCTAAGGAGGATGAGAATTTCATCAGCGAAAATAATTAGTAACATTGGCTGAAAAATCTCGGGACTGACACATAGATGGCGCTAGTCTTATTGCATTCACCGCTTTTTCAATTAGTACTAACCTTCACAAGAAAGCTATTGAAATTTTATGATATTCTACTCATAAATTTGTGAGTTATTGTGCTAAAAGTGGCGCTATTTTTGTAAATATCAAAACAATGAATCAAAAACAATTTCTTGTTTTAATTTTGCACTGCTTCTTGATGGGAAAAAATACCGTTCAAGCGAAGCAAGAGCTTAAAAGGTGTTATAAGGATTCCGCTCCATCAGAAACAACAATTTAAACGTTGGTTTGCTGATTTCAAACGTGGCCGTAGAGACACCGATGATGTAGAATACAGTGGACGTCCAAATGAGGAAGTTACACCAGAGAACATACAAAAATGCAGAAAATCGTTTTGAATGATCAAAAAATGAAGTTGAGTGAGTTAGCTGACATTATAAAGATTTGGTTGGCTTTATATTGCATGAGCATTTGACTATGGGGAAGCTCTGTTCAATGTAGGTGCCGAGCTAACTCACTCTTAAGCAAAAACAAAAACGTCTTGATGATTCTGAGCAGTGTTTCGCCATGTTTGACCAGTCAGCAAACCCAGCTATGTTTTACTCAGAGAGCAAATCTAACCCCATTTTGTAAAAAAATAACAAACCCGAATTTTTGCGTTGATACGTGACAATGGATGAATCAAGTGTGGCTGAGAACACTCAAAACATTTTTGAAAGAATGGATCATGGTAAATATGTGGTATCAGTATTGTTCGACTTAACAAGGGCATTTGGTACAGTCGAAAGGTCTTCCATCTCAGAAATGTTGGGTATTCGTGGCTGTTTTAATGATTGGTTTCTCTTTCCTCGAAAACCGAAAGATTACAGTGAAAATTGTTTTTTCAAATGAATTTAATATGGATCTTAGAACCCCTCAGGGCAGTGTCCTTGGTCCATTATTTTTTCTCATATTTATTAACGATCTTCCTAAACATCTAACTGAAGCAAAAGTTCTCATGTATGCAGACGACATATGCACAATAATATCAGATAAAGATTACTTCCTTTCTAGCAGTGTTAACTGAGTTCATAGTGTTTATTGTGCTTTATGATTTTTCATATTCATATCAAGATGTCTTGTATACTTGTTTTTATGTGTCATTGAATAATATTAGGGTTACATCCTCAACAATGTATTATGTCCATGTATGTATGTGTATATACTCTATTTTGTCAACCTAACCTGTTAACTAGTACTTTAGGAGTAACTTTTTTTATTGTAAGTGTGTGGGTTTTACACCTCACCAGACACGTCCAATCCAATGTATAATAAGAAAACGGATTTAATGAAATTTGATTTGATTTGATTAGATCCATCACTTCACTCTTGATGGAAACTACATTGATGAATAAAGCCAGTTTTGAACAAAAAAACGTGTTTTCTTTCTTAGGTACGGAACTCTTCAGCCCATCTGTATACTCAAATTATGTTTGGCGATCTTTTCGAAAAAAACCTTTTTTTTATCATTATAAACATTGGTATCACAAAACTTAATGGTGTCTAAAATAATTTTCGTGAACCTTGCAATAGTGGCAACATTGGACAACCAGTCGCTAATAATTTATTGTAAACTTGGCATTTCGTCT